GGGCTGGTGCTCTGTGGCGTTGGAGAAACATCTCCGATGCCCCCCCCCCCCCCTCCCCCCACACGCACACACACGCACACACACACACATTGAAAAGCTCATCTAAAACGCATGGGCATGTTAATGACCACAGGCTAAACCACTGTGTCAGGCGAAACGATTACCTTATCAATCAGATGGAGAAAAGTGCGTCAATTTTAGAGAATTAAGTTGGGACCATGAGCGGGGCTGCTGTCGCCACATCCGCAGACACAAAAGGTAAAAGAAAAGGCAACAAAAGACAACAACTGCTCTCTCTCTCTCACAGGTGGTCAATTTCCTTAAGACCGCTGGAGGCATCTTCTCGCTTTCCTTCTCCGCTGTCCTGCAACTTGCCTGTACGACAACGCCTTCTGACCCATCGTAAAAACACATCTCATCTTTGAAAAATGTGTGGGATTTATTATATGTACACACGCGCACACACACACACACACACACACACACACACACACACTCACACAGTATTCAGCCTTCAACCTCTCCTAAATAACAGGTTCAATTAGAACCACATGTATAATCAGGCCTCAGTCTAAAGCAATGTGGCGGCTGTTTCACTGTGCAGTCAATCACTTCAATCCACAACCAGAACATTCCCCCACTTGCTGGCTGCCCGTGAAGAAAAACACCATCATTTAATCCATTAATTTGTCAATTATATTTCATTAACATATTTTTAAAGGAGTAACTAGCCATAATTGCTATTATACTGGTATTCAGTTATTACATATGGAGACGTGTAGATTTGCCATCTTTTTACATCTCTAAAAAGGAGCAATTTTATTTTAGAAAAATCCAAGATACACTAAATTAAAATGTGTTTTATTTCAAAACATATTTGCACAACCTGTAGAATATCTTCTCTTACAGTTGTTCCATATTTAAAAGCCCAAAACAGCTCAAATGTGCACACCGTGCAGTAACAGCAGCTTCAGGACCAACACTTGAAATAATTCCATTTAAAACAAGCTTTCGCTCACTGCACAGTAAAAATTTTGCTTTTCTCAAACCCCATCTAAAGGATATTGAAAATTTAACTATTTCAGCTTTTAAGCAGGTAATGCACTAAGTGCTGCAATAGAAGTAAACCTGTGAGTATCTATCATGGGTCAAACCCTACATGTATAGCAGAGTCGTATACGGGTGCTCTTCAACATCACTTTGGAGCCAAAAGCCCACTCAGACTTGTGGGTTTGGGATAGCAGGAGGGCTTTAATGAAGAGAGCGCGAGAGATGGAGAGACGGACAGGCGAGCCATCAACGCTACCGACGCACAGGACATTTAAAAACTTCAAATACTGTCCATTTTCACTCAAGCAGGACAGGTGAATTGAGAAAAAAGCACTCCTGTATACACACACGCCTGCACTCAGATATATACACTCTTCCACACATACATTCACATGCGCTCGTGCTGGAGGTAAGGACTCTCTGAGTGAGTTTATGGACTAACACAATCATGTTGGTGGCTTTTAAACCTGCTGAAGGGGTTTTTAAGCGCAAGAGATTCATAGCCATTATTGCCTGTCTCTAGACGGGCTCGTACATGGCTCATACATGGTTCAAGTCACACGACGGCACACAGTTCCATTGCACGGGGCCCAGCTGAAAATCATCATTTCAGTAGTGTGCCATTAAGCATAACAGAAACAACTGTCTGGTGGCGAACAGAGTCTGAAACAGACAAAAGTCAGCAGTACATGAGCGACTCTTGCAAACAATGAAAGAAAACAGGACATGGAAAAAAACACAGCTGTCGAGGGGAGAGGGGGAAAAAAAGCCAAGAAGGGAAAGTGTTGAAGCAAGTCAGATGAAAAAAGGTGGCAATGCTGAGGCAAACACACAGACACGGACGCACAATAGCCGACAGAGAACAGAGAGAGTCAGTCTGTCTCTGACACCTCTGGCTTCCTGCACATGTACACTCTTTTTTAACCAAATAACTACTTCTGCCTCTCAAATACTCTTTTGTTCATTGTCTCCTTTTATATTTCCATGAAAAGCCTGTCCCTGATGTGATAGCCTATCAACGAAAAAAGCACTACATAGAAATGATCACTTTACAGTGAGTTTATACTCTTGGCAAATTCTGTAGTGTTTAAATAAGAAGTAGAAATTTAAAAAAGATAATTTCCTCTGTCCTTCAGCAGGGTCTCTCGCTGTTTTTTCTGAGCCCCAGTGCAGGCTTCTTTTTGAGGTTTGCAAGTGCCATCACTGAGTCAATTTTAAATAAAAATGTACAAATCACTAAATTGTGTAGTAATCTTTATTTTGTTGGAAATCGTACCAGTGACTTCAAACGTCATTCTTTTAACTGAGACATCACAGCCCCTGAGCCTTCACTGTGTCAAAGAGAAATTAAGCAGCTGACAGAACATGTAGTAACAAAACTCATTTTTTAAAAAGAAAGTCAAACTGAAACTGGCTGAATTATTTCTTCTGAATTTCTAGCAAATCATTTTAGCAAATATAGCATATTGGGCAAATCTATAGCAATGTTTTTTTCTGAGATGCATTGAGGGTTATTGCCAGTAAATTATTTTCACACTATTGAAATGCTTCAGGTATGCTGATATGCATATTATGCATATAAAATACACCCAGCATATCCTGTCTAAGATAAAATGAACAAATTAACCATCTTCAAATCTGATCTAATTTTTCTGATTTAAATAAACCACAACATGAAGCTGTGAGAACCCTGCTGTACATTAAAATTATGGATGTGAAGTTTTCCATGGAGGCTAAAGCTTCAATTCATGTAGGTGAAATAAACTTTTTTTTGTTGTAAATTTATTCTGCACACACTTTACACCAGGGGCTCCGAGCACCACAAAATACCTGCCTTTCTGTCTGACACCAGAAACGTGACAAGGTCATAAAACGTGATGAAGAGCTTTTTCATTCCCGCTGGATCTTCTATTAAAGTGCAATTAAAAGTGTGTCATCGCGTCGCGGAAATGCCACCACACAGAACGGGGTTGGGGTTGGGGGGGTTGAGGGGTAGGGGAGGAGGGCACAACAGGAGAGAGAGGACACAGTAAATAAAATTAATTATGCCAAATGCCCTGGCGCCCATCAATCACAGGGCAATAATGCCAGTGTCAGAGTGTGCACCCACACGGCCTGTATGCTTTTCTCTCAATGACAGACAACTAACAGCAATTAATTGTCATTTCATCTCTCCCTCTTTTTTTGTCTGCAGCTTTCCATCACGCGGGACCTGAGTCCACCTGACATGCGGGGATGTTCTGGCTGATGTTTGATATTTGATGAGGGGAGTTTTTATTTTAGGAGGTGGGGAGGAGAGAAAAGAACAATAACTTAAATTTTTACAACACTGAAGTTGATGTTCCACATTTTGTATTAGTTGCGCAAATTAAAGGCAATTTTGAACTGTTTATGTCATTGCAATATGTTATTTTTAAATAAGGCAGGCCTAAAACGTTTTTTTATTTTCCTTTAGGAAGAAAGATCATTTTCCTTTGTGGTGGAGGCCTACTGTCAAGCCGGTTTATGACTGCAAAAAGACAGGAAAAACATGGGTCATGCAGAGGTTCTGGTTCAGACTTCAACCCCCTCAATTTCTAAATTTATAATATTATCTAGGCTAAGTCAGCTCTAAACATCTGGGAATATTTTTATATTTTATCATCGCAAGTAAATCACGCATTTCATGCAATAAATCTTATTTATGAATTATAAAAATAAACTCAGACGCATGAATGTTAATAACGCACTGATTATCACGTGTACAGCCCTACTGATTAGATCCGTTTTAATATTCTCCGTTAAAACTGAAATTAAACTTTTCACTATGCATGAACAACTTTTCTCCGCGCCCTGCTGTTTAGACACTCATCTGAATATTGCTATTTATTTAATCTGGTAAGATTATATGGAAAATACAACATCAAAACTCAGTGAGGTCACAGAAAAGCGGTTCCAAATTCAAAAGTCAAAATGGTTTGAAAAGACAGTATTATCCCTGACCTATTGACTATGTCCACAAGAAAGCATTTTTCCCCTTCTTAAGACAAGGGGTCTATTGTCTTCAGTGAGGGGCGCAATGCCTTTTTGTAATTTTAAACATTATTGTTTAATTATCAGAAAAACAAAAATAAACTATTAAGAATTAAAAGAGTGTTTAACGGCTGCGAGTTAAACAGGTATAAAGCGATGACAAAGCATTCAAACCCTTCTAAAACGGGTGTGCAAATGTATCGCCTCTAACCTATGTCGGTGTTTATTATCAAATCCCCTAACAAGGGTTATTAACGGGGACGCAACTTTAAGTTTGTCTCCTCCGTTCAGATCCACTCCCGACATTTTAGTTAGTCCTAATCTGTGAGGAGAAGAAAAAAACTTTTTGTTGTGTCATGAGCTGAGACTTCGGACAATGACACTTTCTATGAATCACTGGTCCTCTCAGACCATCGAAACTTACCTATGCTCTGATAAATCCTAAGAGTTCAAATCAATTGCGATATCCCATTAAATATAACTGACGATTGAAATAAGCTTTGACTCAGTTTATAACACGTGTCAAAGTGGCGAAGAGGGAAGGGAGAAACTTTTTCCACCGTCGATTGTTTTTATCTTTCTATTGAAGGACTTGAACTAGGCTACTTCAAAGAGCATTTTAAAACGTGGCTGATAAGTTTAGCGTTCAACACCGCAGTGAAAAGAATCAAAGAAGTTCAAATGAAACATGGACGAAGGGAAGTCTTAAAGAGCAAAACGCCGAGTGTGCCTCGCTTTATAATAATCTATAACACCCTATAATATTATTAGGCTGACTTGGAGCAGTTTCACAAACAATGTGCGATGAAAAGTTGAAGTCTGATGGGTTTTTTTTTGTCTTTTGCTAGACTAGCGTGCGAGTTTCAATGGAAGCACAGAGTGAGGAAAGAGTGAGGAAGATAAAAAGGGGGAAATGAAAGTGTAGATAATGCATCAACCTGTTCTCTTGTTTTCTGAAGAAGTCAACTTTCACGCCAGTGGTTGGACCATGTGGACAGCCCGCTTCTGCTCCTCGAGCTCCCGGCGCGTCCACTCTCTCGCGGCGACAAAGGGGACACAAACCGACGGGACCGAAAAATTTCAACCAAAAAAAATGGAAAGAAACACAGAGGAGAGAGAGAGACAGAGAATGCTAGGATCTAAGACCGCAGGACCATTACTTTAAACGACAAAGCGTGCTCGTTAGTCCTTTCCTTTTCCCTTTTGTGTGCGTCCTCTCTCCTCGGAGTGGCCCCTCTGGAGTGAAGTCAGAACAATACTGCCGCTAAAACTCTGGCACTGTGCGCAAGTTGCCGCGGCGAAAGAGCGCAGCTTCTCGTCTTGTTTAGTTGCGTCTGCTTCCTCCGTTATCTCTTCAAGAGGCTTATTCAGCGCGAATAACCTCTCCACCGGTCCTCACTTTTTGGCATCCCGTCTGTTGCTTGCTCGTTCGCTGGAAATCAGGGTTGAATCACTAGAGCTGACTGTGGAGTGTGTGTGTGTGTGTGTTGCGAGGGGGCCAGTTTGCTGCGCTACCGTAATGCCTCTAAAGCAGGTGCGCGTTTTCATCGCTGCCCTATAATCGCAAAGCCCTGGCGCACAATTGCAAAATAGCAGCCGGTGAGAGGTATCTCTCTTTCTCGTGTGTGTGTGTGTGTGTGTGTAAGGGTGTGTTTGTGTGTGAGTGTGAGTGCAAGGCACTGATCTTTTGACCTCTCTTTGCATCCCGGCTGAGTTGTGCTATTGTGGAGGCAGAGAGGAACAGATGTTAGCCTGCACAGAGTTTGAGCTCAGAAAACCTTCACAAAAAGCACAGCACAGATCACCCAAACAGAACTAGTCCACTATTAAACATTTGTATTTTCTACACATCTAAATTCCATGTATCACATGTGTTGATTAAATAAAAACTCAGGAAAAAAATTACCGCTATAATTTGCACAGGACAAAAGTTCAAAAGTATTTTATTGCTCTTGACAGATCTTATTGTGATATAACTTCCATTTTTTCTCACACTGCGTGGCAGCCTATATCGATTCACGCCACAAAGATTTATGTCAACATAGGAAATGCTGTATTCCACAAATAAAAAATAAGTGTAGAACCAGTTTAAGTGGGTTCAATCTTATACACTTACTGTGCAAATAGACAGTTATATTGTGATTGAACAATTTTTTTACGGTCTGCCTACCACACTATGTCCTTTATGTATTTTGGAAGCTTGACAACTCCTTCTTGCAGAGTTATTACCACCTTCTCCCCCCTTCACCACCACATTCATTTACTAATTGACAGCATAATCAGTGTTGAGATTACTGTCTCTGATGAAATTTGGGAATTACATCATACCTGTCGCTGTGAGAGAAAAAAAAAAGTGCGGGGAGAAAAAAAACCAGTGCCATAACTCACAAGAAGATCTTGGAATAATTTTGCTTTGGCCATTAAATGGGATTCTGCCCTCCTGCCTTTTCTCTATCTAAGCTTTTACCATTGGAAAATGATGGCAGTCCATCACGGCACCACCCAACAATGGGCCACGACTGCAGTAAATCACAACATATTCATTAGCACGATCAATACCACTAAACGTGCGTCTGTGTGAGTGTGTGTGTGCACATGTTTGGGTTTGTGTTTGTGTGATTGAGTGTATATGAGCACCCATATTTTTCTTTTACTTACTCACCTCTCCTCTCTGAGCCTGACAAATTTTGCCAGGAACACTTTGTTATATATCTCCAATAAATCTCCCGTGGAACTGACAGGTGCTAATGTGAGCAACTGGATGGTGATGAGTGATGCTTTTTTAAGTGGCTGCAAGGTGCACTTTCTTGTTTGAGCGACGAAATCAGACAGTTTTGTCAAAAGAATGCACCCCAGCAGCTGTGAGTGTGGTTACTTAAAATCTTTATAGTGAAAAACAACCTGAATCCTACTAACTGAGCAGCACAATAGAGAGCAGAGGGACTGGATCCTTGTGCTCGTTGTTGTGTAACTGTTGACATTTTTACTGACGATATTAATCAACCCCCCCCAACCCTGCCTGTTTGGGGAATCATGATATGTTGGTTGTTATTTGTCTGTTTTGGCTAATGGTTGCATAAAATCCCAGCACAGGAAACTCAGTAGGACTCTACGTTATGCATGGCCTGAATAAATCCGAGCCAGGCCAGGCCAGGCTAAAGAAGGCAGAGTATGAAACCTGATCAAAATAGAGCTGGCCTGGATTTCTTAAGTCAACACCCTCGTTCTTGTTCTTGGTGAAAGGAGAAAAATGCTGGGCCTCTCACCCATCTCCTGTTCCCATTTAGGAGCCCGTCTCTCCCTGTTAATCAGGGGGAATAATTATCAAAGTGGACAGGTAATTAAATTAAAACATAAGTGGCTACATGAGCTGGTTTGGCTGTACTACAAGGTTTTCCCTGGCTTAATTAAAGAGAAATATGGGAGTGCTCACCCACAGTGTCACAGAGCTGGTGAAAATGAGAAAAAAGCTCCTGCCACTAACTTGAATAACTCAATCTGATCCTTCAAACACAGGATTATGGATTGATAAAAAAAAGAAGAAGAGGGGATTCCTGCCTCTGTGTATATGTTGGAGGGAAATTCTTCCTCGCTGCTCATTCCTGAACAAATCAGTTCCTCAGACTACGTTGTTTGTTTGTGTATGAGAGCAAAAGCATATGTGTGGCGGCGAGCATGAGGCTAGCGAGTGCAGAATGTGGTAGGCGCATAAAAATTTTTTTTTTAAACTGCGAGCTTTAGCAGCCATCTGGGATTAATGTCGTAAAATAAAGCTACAATAAAATAAAACTGCTGCTGTTGATGTTTACAAACAGCCCCCACAAAATCCCCACAATGACTTGAGAGTCAAACCCAAAGAGAGGCCTCAAACACACACACACACACACACACACACACATATATACAAATAAACACACCCAGAGCGGGAAAGCAGCGCACAAACCAAATTATCCAAACATTCACAGACACACTCATATGTGCACACACCCACTTTGGGGTTAGTGTGCATGTTTACAAATAAAGACAAAGTGGGGAGGATGCATGCATACACACACACACACACACACACACACACATATACCACTGCCGTCTCTGTGGTTATGCAAAGACAACAAAAGACTGTGGCTCAAAAACACCATTTCTATATCAGAGCTGGGTGTATTGCAATAATATCTCTTGTAGAACAGTACCTGCAAACAACAAGTGTGTGTGTGTGTGTGTGTGTGTGTGTGTGTGAGTGTGTGAGCAGACAGTGGCATCTGCATTAGTCTCTGAATGTACACTGATTGCTGGGAGGATCACAGCCAATCAACACCTGCTTTCTATTAGAAGATGTTCTACAAACATGTTTACTGTTGCAGCTGCTCTTCATCACACACACACACACACACACACACACATACACATGCCACACACTAAAGTGAGCAGAGAGAGAAGGACATGCTAAGAAAATGTGTTTATCACTACTCTCTCCTCTTCTTGGCCTTTAGTTGGAAAGGGAATAATTAGGGAGTCCCGGCCAAGGCAGCGGTGCACGTGTTAACAAGCTGTTTTAACACACACTCACACACTTCTTCCCACATGCAGAGGAAGCCGCAGAGAGCGAGAGAGGATCTTATTCTGTGCCTCAAGGACTCACTTAATTTTAAAGCACTTGTGACCCAGCAGTCAAGTCCAGGTACGAGCCTCTGGCCGGGCTGGTGCGCAAATCTGACACGTACGTGCGCAAAACCAACAAGCCTCCAAAACTAAAATGTTAAGGCTGTCCGTGAAGAGTTTAAATAAATGAGTGAGGGAAACTTCTCATCCTCCATGATGAAAACCCTCTTCTCTTTGAAAGAAAAGTTTCCCCATCGTTCTTTACTTAAGAAAAACAATAGATGTCTTCATGGATGTAGGATTAACCGCCCAAGTAGCTGTTAAATCAAAGATAGAGAAGGATTTCAATTGTAACGCATATCAACTTACTTTAACTTTCTCAGGGAAGTCAATATTGCTATCTTAGCATTTTGAGCATTGAGCACAAGATTTGAGATTGATTTTTCCTGCTGTAATGAAACAATTTTAAATTTTTTATGAAACACACTTGGAGTTCGAGTTTGGGAGATAACATTTCACGCAGCTAGCTCATATGAAATGATGCATCAAAGAGCAACAGGAATTTATGTCTGCAAATAAAAATATTCGGATGTTTTGTCAGTAAAGTAATTTGATGATACCATATCTGAGGCGGTGAAACACACAAATGTACAAATACACGCATTACATCATACAGTACATTACACACTGACAGGCGGAGGAGGAAAGGGGAAGAAGGAAGCTGTTGACTAATGTTGAAAATGCAAATGATTGGCTTTTTTTGCAGCGTAAGAGTGACTGAACAGATGTGAAATTCAAAGCAAGAGAGGGAAATGGAGAGGATGAACCAGAGAGGAGTAGGATGAGTCTGGGTTAAAGAGCAGGTGAGCGCACATTAACAATCAATGGGTCAAATTTTACCCAATCAGGGTTAATGTAGCACCAATACAATTCTGGGTAAACTTTACTTGGTACAAATGAAAACCCACTCAAGAAGACAATGAGCTGTTTTTTTATATTACTGTTGGGTTACTAATAACTAAAATATGGTACACAATAAAATCCCTGGGTTAAACTTTACCCAGTGTGGGTCAATTTAGCACTATGTCAATGGGCACCCAGTGTTTGACTCATGGTTAGGTTTATTTTTTTAAATTCTGTGCTATATTGACCCACATTGGGTCAATTTTGATCCAGTAATGTTTTTTAGTGTGGCGGTTTGAGACATGGCCTCCATGATGCTACTGTACATGCAGGTGTAGACCTCCCAATCCAGACATGACAGAACTGTCTTCATGTCTGTCCGTCTGTTTAGGGGTAACTTAATACAAGACATTAAGTAATATCCCTGAGACCGCATCTGTTCATCTGCTCACGTGCAGGACATACAAACATACGTCAAAAAGACAAACACACACACAGGCACACACATGCATTCTCAGAGCCTTGCAGTCCCTCCCTTGGTGCGATCTTGTATCAAAGCAAACAAATGACATGCTGTCTTCTCCTCTCTCTCCCCACTGTCTTTTTTGATGTGTGCTTGTGTAAAATGACACGCCGTATCTCTCAAGCTGACATTATCACTCGCCGGCGCGCTCACATCTTCCGGCCGCACGCCTTTCCCACAGGACTCCCTACAGCAGGGGTCTTTGTCTCCGAAAGCATCGCACACACAGACACAGAGGCACACACACGCAATGAAAGATGTGGAAAAAGACTTCTATGATTTTACCTCTGCATTGTGTGCTGTCAGTGACTGGTTCAAGGAATGAGAGAGCGAGAGGGATGGAGAGATGAAGAGGAAGGATAGGATAGGGTTGGCTTTCTTTAGCAACCTTTCTGGCGTGTGTGTTTTCTGAAGATGTATTGTGTGACATTTCTCTGCTGAAGATTTTGAATGCAGCCAAGACAGAG